AAAAAAAAAAAAAAAAAAAAAAAAAAAAATATATATATATATATATATATATATAAATATTAAGTAAAAGATTTTTTATTTAAAGAAAATAAAAAAAAAATAAAAAAATAATAATTAAAACAGAATTTAAATTTAATAGTTTCTAAGATATTATACTGTAAGGAGTTAACAATAGATAATTGTATTTAAAATTAAACTTGTTGTCTAGTTTGTATAGATTAGATATAACAAGTACTTGTTCTGTACAAAAATTATTAAACTTTAGAACTTAGAAAAATTCTTAAATATAACTAGAGAAAAGAAAGTGTTAATAACTAAACTATCAATAGCTATATAGCCTTTAAATATTAATAATATAAAGCTAGTATTTGCTAAAATATTATTTACAAAGTCAGCTTTCACTTTATATTATTATTAAAAAAAGAATAAAATTTATTTAAAAAAAAATAAAATATATAAAATAAAAAGTAAAAAATAGTTTTTATTAATATAGTTAAGAAAAAGATAAATAAAATATAAGAGATAGAATCCTGTAGCCTAGTGGTTTAAGTGCTTCTCCCTCTATAGACAAGGTCAATAGTTCAATTCTAACTGAAGATAAAAACTCTGTAATCTACAGAAGCATATGAATATATATGAAACCCTGTGGCTAAGTTTATGTGAATAGAAAGATCAATATATAAAGAAGTTTCTGGAAAGAAGTCTCTTGATATAGAGAGTTGACGCTCGATGTGAAAGAAACAGTGTATATACCAGAAATGGAGAGAAGGCGCACTAGCAAGTGATATAGTAAATATAAAAGAAAGCTATAAGAAAAGAATAAACTTACCAAAATTCGAACACCTCTAGCACTAATAAAAGTTTTATTAGATATGAAATATACTAAAATCAGATAAAATTTAAAAAGTAATCTTGGTATTATACTTAGTAGTTTGTATTGAAAGTAAATTCAGTCCAGTGTTTTTTCATATTTGGCATTACTGAATTCTGTAATGATCTGCAATAATTGATATTCTAGAATTGTTATTGATATTCAGTAATACAACACCTTATTGGCTGCAAATTATCATAAAAAAAAGAATTATATATAGCTATGCACTCAACTCTAAATATAACAAACCTCTTTATATGAACTCTGAATATAACGAACTCCGAATTATAAAATTTCATAATAGTCTGATATAAAAAAGTTATAGTTTCTTAAAAACTTTATAATTTTCAATAATGAACCATTTTTTTCCTTCTGGAACCCTAGAACCACCAGTTCATTATAAAGAATTTTGTATGTACCTGTTGCATTTTTTTGTAAATTTATTACTTAATGAACTAACACAACAAATATAAAAAAAATAATATATAATCTAACTTATTTTAAACAGTATATATTATACCACCAGGATCGGTAAATATAATACTCTTCAGCAACCGGAAGTGGTTGATATCTGAAATATTTTTTGTCATAGCTGAAGTCTTGAAATTTTAAATACTTTAGTAGCTTAGGATTTAAGATTTGTTTTGATAATTAAAATATATAAGTAGATTTTGGTAGGGATTGTATTTTTAAATTAAAGCCTCTAATTTCAAGCTTCAGCTGTTTCAAACATCAGCTGCAACATTTTTTATTTTAAAATTTTGTAAGAATCAGTTGAGATAAGAGACATACAGTATTAATGAAAAATCAGCAAACTTTGAATAAAAAACTAGAGACTATGTTAAGTCATATATAGCCTTCACAAACATGTTCTTACTGTCAATAAGTTGGTTAAAGAATCTTGGGTAAATATTATTTTATGAATAAAAAATAAATTTAGCCAAGTTCTGTTTAATATATTTTAGAATTAGTAAATTAATAAACTTTCAGCAATTTTCAAATTTTTTACCAAAGATTTTTATCATGTTTTAAAAGAAGACTTCAGATATAATATTTTAAATTAGGCATAGCTGTTATTTAATTTAGTTTATATATATTGACATAATATATTATAGATTTACTAAGAAAAAAACTTTAATAATAACTGTATATAGTTAAGAAAGTTCTTAATATAATTTGTAAGGTCAAAAAAACTAGATCAACTCTCCCTGATGATTACTCATACCAAACTTACGGCTAATGAAAACAGAAACTTGTTGGAGAAAAGTAGAAGAGACAACTACAAATAATAGTTTTTATAGAGGTCAAAGATTTTCATGTTTTCTTTAGACTCCTCTGTATATTCAGTATGCAAGTTAAAAGCATTTCTGTACAAGATAACTGGCAAAAAGGTGGTGCTCTTGTACAGAAAATTTTAATAGAAGCTCTGCTTCTGCTGACAAAGTTAATGATAGTTGGTCTAAAGAGAACAACAAGTGAGTTTTCAACATGTTCTTTACTGAAGTTTAAGGCTACCTGCAAACCAAACCCTATACCAAACTCCATTTTTTGCACTTTTCGAAATTTTCACCAAAAAGTGAGAAAAATGGTATACTACCAACAAAAGATCGATACAGTAACAGCTGCTGAAAAAAAAAGTCACGTATACATATATGTGTCTACTTTGGGATGAATAGTGGTAAATAATGTGATAACATTTGAAGCACTGCAGAAGACCTGCTGACCTAGTTGGGATAGCATCAAAAGTTTCGACCTTGGAGCTCTACTTCAAAACCAGATAGTTTTTAAGATTTTTACATCCTGGATATAGACATAAATAACTAGTATAGAGTTTAATCTAGTTTATCTGTAGTACTATATAATTTTTATAATCCAGTATAGGTTTAATAGTGCTATCTTTGTTTCTTTTCTTTGTTATCTTTTTTTTCGTTATTTGTTTTATTTAGTTTTATTGGTTTAGGTGGACCAGAACTCAATACTGTAGTATTTCTCTATTTTTATTTTGCCCTTTATATTTGTATTTATATTTCATGTTGAAAAAGGAAAGCTAGCTTTGATACGATGTGTGATACCAGCCTATGACCAAAGAATAACCTCTAGTAAGAGGTAGATTAGTTATAGCTATTATTAGGGAATATAAAGTGGCAGGACAGCCAAATTATAAAAAAAAAAAAAAATTTGTAAGGTAATATGCTAATATTCAATATATATATATTTTTTTAATCTATTTCATTGTTATTAATCAAATCTCAAACTTGTTGTAAAATAATTAATAAATCTTCTTTTTTTTTTATTTTTAACCTTCTGAATTGTGGCCGATTAGTCTCATTTAAAGATCCAATAAGTGACTCGATAACAACAATCAATTCTTTCTTTTTCATTGAACTTTCTTCTGATTGTATTTGTTCTTCATCAACAGTAACAGAAATAGGATGAGATCCTAATAGTTTTTTTGAGTTTAATTTTTCTTTGATATAGTTTATATGACAGGCTCAAGCTGTAATACTAAATATTTTCATTTTTTCATTTAATTTATTGTACCTACCCAAACTCTCAAAGAAATGATTCTTTCATTTAGATTTAGAAAACCAGTTTTTCTTAATTAGATTCAAAACCATTGTGATTCTGTTTTATAATTTGGACATATTCGTGGACTGGTGCTTTCATTATCAGTATATCCAATTGTGTTAAACAATCTTTTCACAACTGTTGTCAAAGATGAAAAATTATCTGCAAAAATGGTAACAATTAAGACATTAAAATGAGTGCTAGCAAAAGAAAATAAGACTTCGGGCTTTCAATTTTATTATTTATTATTCTGTTATTTATTAGATTCAATCTATGAAAAATCTTATTAGTTATATATATGAAAATGATTACATTCTATATATATCTTTAAAGTGCTAAATTTAATAAATAATAGAATAATAAATAATAAAATTGGAAGTCAGAAGTCTTATTTTCTTGGCAGCACTCAAATTTATTATTTTATCTTTATAAATTTCATACAATTTCTCACTATCATATTTCAATGTTTCTGAGTCAGTATAGACAAGATAAGTGTTTTTAGCATTTTATTTACTTCTTCAAGTATAGCGTCCAAACCTTGATGTTGATTTGACCATCCTAATCGTAATACAGCTGAATTTAATTTAATTAGTTTCTGAATTTCAGAGTGAAGGTGCAATAGTTGCTCCTCATCAGCTACTTCAATTTCTTGATAAATAGGATGTCTTCTGGCAGACCAAATTGAAGCAAATACCTTGCGAGCTGCTTATCTAAGTAAAGGTTGATTAAATCTAATGCCATTACGAAAGTTTATTATGCCTTGTAAATACAAAAATATCTAAAAAAAAAAAAATTTAAGTATAAAAATTTTCTAAATACTGTATTTATATTATGAATTATTAATATACTTGATCATATTTTAATCTATATAATTTATCTTTTTGATTTTTAGCCTAGTTAAGATATCTATTAACAGTCAGATTAGGATTTGAAACAATATAAGGCCAAACTAGTTCCATTGTCATTAAGTGCTGATAAATATTACAAATCGAATCCTATGCTTTGTGATGATTAGAATATTTTTTAAAATAGCCCAACTGATTCTCAGTTTTGTATTCTTAATATTGTGCAAAAAATCATACATTAATTGCTCTAGATTTTATAATATATAATATATAATTGTATTATAAGAATTTCTATTTGTATCTAGTAGGTATAATACTTGATATAAGAACAAAAAAATCAAAAATCATTAATATTTTACTGAAACCCAAACTGGCTCCAATCAATTAACCAACAATCATTTCACTAAATATTTATTTAGCAGACATCATATAGAGTTAAGGCTAAGTATTTAATTAGTTGCAGATATATATTTTTACTAAATTTTATCTGTCATGATGTTACTAAATAAGCTGTTGGTGAAGTGATTGTTGGTGAAATAATATAGACCTAAAAACCATATGTAGGTAGATATATTAAATAAAATTGTTCAGTATTTAATTTTATATATAACTATATATATTCTAAATCTTATGCTAATTTTAATATATTGTTATATTAGTAGATTTTATTAGCATATTTTAGAAGATTTTATTAGTATATTTTATCAGTATAATTTATAT